ATCCTCAAAACGAACTAACCCCCCAGACCCCCCCAGGCTTTTGGTCAGTCCAAAATTGGGCATGGATTGTACAGTGAGTGACCCAATCCCAATCCCCAATTTGGGATTTTGTAAAGAATTACACAGTCACCCTACTGTGCAATTCCCAATCCAATTTGGACCTGACCAAAAGCCTGGGGGGGTCTGGGGGGGTTATTTCGTTTTTACGTACAAAGTCTCACCGGAAATAACACCGGTCGGATTCCCCGTGTGGACACGTTATTAGTACGACGATTAGTCGTAGACTATCGGTGTGGACACTCCACCTACCTAATAGAGCCGTTTCCCTCTTCACGAGTGATAGTGTTCTAAAAAAACAAAGTTAAACGACTTGTTATAACTCTCTTTACCAATAAAAACATATATCTTTTACAAATTTTAGAAACTCAAGTAGAGTACTTTTTAAACCACTGCTTTTGTTTTTACAACGCAAATATAAAACAGTCCATCATGTGGACATTGATGCCAATTGCTTTTATTCAACTTAGAAGAAGAAGAAATTTATTTTTGGGGTGATAATAATATCTACTTTTATATATATGTTTCCGCACTAGTTATTCTAGATCGTTATCTGGTTATTGTTTCTTAACCAACTATACACTTTTGAAGTCGTTGATTTTATTTAGCGAGACATTTTTCCTATATAAACTTATTTTATATTACTGTTAATATCTTTGTAAAGCTCAAACTGTTTCCAAACTCAATATTTAGTTTCCGATGTTATGATTAGTACGGAACCAATTTACACTGTGAATTACATACAAACTGTTAATACTAGGCAGTAGATAAGGTAAAGGAAACAACCAAACCTTTTATATGTATAGTTAAATAAACCATAATTAAAAAATATTCTTTACCCAAAAAGTCTAATGTAAATAAGTGATGAATCAATATCACATCACCAAATTAGATCACTATTGTATCAAATAAATATAACAAACTCACTATATTGAACAGATCTATAAAAGAATAGGATACGCTCTCTATGCTTATTTGTAAATTCATGTCTAATAGTAATGCATAAGAGGAACAATCAACTATAGTTATACTTATTACATAGGTAAACAAGTCAGAAAAAGAGATAGCACCGCCTGGATCCTTCAGAAACTCATAGACTCGGAACTCCTTCCCTATCCTAATTTCAGTATGGATATTCTCGAGGAAGAGTAAAGTGTTCAGTAAAATATCTGTGTCTAGACTAGTAGCTATCATACGTCCTCGTTAGGAGCGTGTTATGATTAGATAGACCTATCCTCCAATACCTAACCTTCTACCATCTAATCCCTAATACATCAAATCTTACACTACTAATGGCCTGTGTGTGTGGGTTGGTTATGTGGGAGTTAGGTGTAACATTAATAAGGCTCAATACTCGCCACAGTAAGAGGGGCACTGTTTTCCTCTCGTTTGAGTGGGTTGGTGGAGTGGTCTGTCGCGTTGCTATTATGTGTGAGAGCTCTGCAGTTGTACGTGATAGAGAGTAATTACATATATACGGACACCAGATCGGGTATAAACAGACACACCCGGCGTAGATGTCTCGCTGTGTCCGTGTACAGTGTAGAAATAGTAGTGCTGTGTGGTGTGTGTGTGTGTGTACGCTTACGTAGGTGTGATAGTCGGTGTGTGTAGTGTGTGTGGTCTGTGCTCCCTGTGTGGACTGCTTGTGTGTGTGCTGGTGGCCTTTTATTGTGGCCAGCCTAAGGCACACCTGTGCAATAATCATGCTGTCTAATCAGCATCTTGATATGCCACACCTGTGAGGTGGGATGGATTATCTCGGCAAAGGAGAAGTGCTCACTTTCACAGATTTTTTCAGATTTGTGAACAATATTTGAGAGAAATGGTTATTTTGTGTAAATAGAAAATGTTTTAGATCTTTGAGTTCATCTCATGAAAAATGGGAGCAAAAACAAAAGTGTTGCATTTATATTTTTGTTCGGTGTTTGTAACAAAACGGTTTCTCTGCATTTGACCCATCCTAGTGTTAGGAGCAGTGGGCTGCCATTATGTACGGCGCCCTGGGAGCAGTGAAAAACCAAAAATATTATATAAATCGTTTGGTTATATTTCCCACGAGCCCTTATGGCTTTAGATGACCAGAACATAATACAGAAAAAGCTGCCATTTATGTTACATCCCATGTTCTCAACCCTCCGTCCTAAAAAATGTGATTCTTATCCAACTCAACTCCATCCTCAATTACATTTTACAGATACATTTTAGACCAGATTATGAAGAGAGTTTTAAACACGTCGTAATGTTGTGAATTTTAATGAACAAAACAAAATATAACAAAAATATAAGGTTGTTAAAGCAACAAATCTATCACGTTTTGGCAATCAAACGGTTAGATTCAGTGAATGATAATGGTTTGGCATAAAGTAAGTCCAGAATTCCATGTTCTATGTTATTGACGTTACACACTTAAATAGAACATAAAAAGAGGGCTTCTTGGTGACCAATACATCCAACCCTACGTACCTCCGTGGACCTTGACTACAAACGCTGTTGTGAAGCTCCGAAATCAAATAATGAATTTCTCTTGACATGTGATTGTTGTGAGAGTATCACTTCTAAGAAACCAACAAAGCTCCAGCTATCTGTCAAAGGGAACTGTAACCCTTTCTACTGTTAGCACTAAATGCTAATGACCCCGGCCAACCGTGTGCCGATTCCCATGCTGCCGAACGGATCTTAGAGGGCTGCACATGATCCACAAATACATCTCTGATACCGGAAAGACTTTGATGTTGAATCTGTGCAGGACATAAATACACACAACCGATCAAAATACCCCACGCTGGTCTCTGCATCCTACTCTTTTTTTGTTTTATCTGGCTTCTCTTACCACACAACCACACACTAATACTGTCTTGTGGTTTACGCACAGAGATAGTGCCGTGATGCATTTGGAGTTATTGAATTTCCTGCCGTGTTGTCCTGCTATACTCAAAGGCAATATACTCTATAGCAAAAGCCAATTAGAGCGGGATTTGTACTGTTGCTGAGAAGCCTCCACAAAGGTCAGTCCTTGAGAGTGGCATTAGGTGAGATGGGCGGAATGGAAAAATACGGTCAGCCATTACTCTTGTCCTGCCACTGGCCTTGTGTGATATAAGGTGATGGTAGTGTGACCGACACATCATCCTGAATGTACAGACACGGAGCTTTACTTATCTGGTTTATGTACCACTTTTTTTTTTGCGTAATCATTAACTAGCCTTGAGCTCATGACAAGAGCAAATAATCAATCGTCCTCCTGTATAATTATACCATCATTTACTCTGTATTGAATGGAGGAGATTTTAATGGCAGCAGTAGCCACCCACATGGATATAGTTAGCGTTTTTTTGCGTTGTAAACATTAAAAGGAGATCTTTGGTGATATCACACCTTAAAGAGGACATACTATGGTCGTTTGCAGGTTCATATCTGTATGTAGTGTCTCTACTGTGACATGTCTCCATGCTTTAATGTTTAAAAAGCTCCTTATTGTTCTCATACAGCCTGTGCTGCAGCACCTCTTTTCACCCTCTGTCTGAAACCAGAGCCCAGTCTGCTCTGATTGGTCAGCTATTTGGCTCTGTTGTGATTGGTCAACCTTTAGGTTATCTCGGGTTTGAGAGTGGTCAAGTAAGTTTTTATTAACAAAACCGCCAACATCACAGGACCAAGTTGAGTGTAGCCACATTTCGTTTTCTTGCAACACATTTGTATTTTGGTCTACCCGTCCAGGTGTAATTGTGTTATCACAATTGAAAAGTTTTTCAAAACTATTTTGACACGGTAACGCTTGTCATAACAACTCAATCTGAGAACGGACTGTCGCCTCGGTTACACAAAAACATAACTCCTCCTTCGAAACGTCGTCTCCCAACGGAGCAACCATTTTCATTGCCTGTCTGGCCCCCAAGTAAGTTGTCCGTACATGTGTCTGTAAGATTCGTGACTAAGCTCATCGGAGACACACAACCACAGACGGAAACAACGTATTAACTTCGTTTACTTGTAATTACACGGACAAATAAATAGTCACGTTCGACACGGAGTCACCAGGTCTAGTTAGAAAGGGTTTGTTGGACCCCTCTTTCTAGGTTATACATATTAGGTTATACTACCTCCCTTATAACTTAGTATAGGCACGTGTCGAACAACGGTGGTCTACTTGTGCAAACCTTCGGTTCGTTAGCCAGTAGGTAACATGTGTATTACCTTAAGTCTCCCCCGATCTTCCCTTTCATCCTATATGACACAACCATATATCTCTTAGAATGACAAAATACAACACCCACCGTGTCCTAATTATTGACGTGAACGGTTCTCTCTAAATTGTCTTCTAATCTCTTCCGCGAGGGTGTAGTGCAATGACCCGGCACCAAATCGAGGACACCCGACCATAGCGCCGTGCTCCGTCTCGTCTAAGCGACACACCTTTCCATTTCACAGAAAGGTTTCGTTCTTTTCGTATTAACATAACCGCGTGTCCTCCATGGGGCCAACATTACTTTTTGTGTTATTACGTGACACATTTCATCAGAGCTCGTTTCGCGTCGTGGTTCATTTCGACACCTTAATGTCAATCAGTCCCAAAGAGTGTAAGATAGTAAGTCGTCGCCTTTTTCGTAGAGAGGGTTTCACGCTCATTGGCAACCATCTCTTGGAGACTAGATTTCTGTCTAGAGAATGGAGGTGTCGAGGTCCAAGAGAGGTAAAAAGTCCAGGTCGGCATCTTCCGAAACCGAAGCGCCCCGAACGCTGAGGGTGTGGTACCTAAGCAGACTACCTCCGAAGCCTGGTAGGACCCAAAGAGCTACTCCGACTCCCCCCCGACCTTTCACCTCCTTAACTCTAACAGACATACATGTATTTTAGACTCAGTGAAACTAATAATTGTACACGAGTCTCGTCACCCCTGCATCCCTCCTCGAACAAACATAAAGAAAAATGGGACCCGAACAGACAGTACAACACTACATAACATAATTAGACCACACGCCGCCACAACGATCCCGGAATGTCATCCTGAATCCCGGGTGATGAGTAGCTCTCGGAATCACAGAATCTTTTGTACTTCACGAAAATTGAAGAATGAGATAAGAGTTTGTACGTGGAATGTACCAAGTCAAGTCATTTGTATACAACGCACAGAGACTGACACTGTACACAATGTACGAAATTACAACTTTCTTTCAGCAACATGAAACACTAAGTATGAGTCTGGGAGAACAGTGGGAGACAGACTTTGGTCTCGGGGTCAAAGACGAGACTAACAATCGACTGGTTCGAGACAACACTACCCAGTTGACACCTCCAAGGGGTCAAATGCGAGAAAACCACC